GCTGAAATAGCAACTTTCACTGCAGTATTCTCCGCCATTGACATGTATGCGCATCTGCATTTATATAACAGCCAGTAGCAACGCCTTCTCTCTGAAAAGACCCATGATGGGCCAAAGTCTCCTGTCACAGCCTAGATTTTCTAAAGCCTGAAAACAGAGCCAAGAGGACGTGCAGACGTCTGGTGTTGTCTTAGTCCACTTGGATTACAATATGCTTAAAGTTTATTATGGGAAATTATCCTGCCTACCCCAGCTTTACGAGCTGTTTCAGTTCAGTGTTTTAGGTATGAAAATAATGTTCGCTGTTCCCTCAGATCTTTACCTGGATGTGCTGAAATGTAAGGTAAAGTGCGAAGAGAACCTGACACCTAACGTTGGAGGCTTCTTTGTGGAGAAGTTTGTAGCCACCATGTATCACTACCTCCAGTTCTCCTATTATAAATGTAAGAACTATGACTCTGGTTTCAGAATTTTGATAGCAATCTGTGTTAGACTGTTTAAACATGTATAATTTTGTGATTCTTTACAGTGAATGATGTAAAGAACGCTGCTCCGTGTGCAGCCAGTTACATGCTGTTTGACAACAAAGACAAGGTGATGCAGCAAAATGTAGCATACTATCGCTTCTACCAGGAGCAGTGGGGACTTGAGGAGAAGGACTTTCAGCCTCGGCCCGTGAGTGAAACAGAAATCTCATTACTATTCTCTTTTGGTACTTCCTGGACTTTGCTTGTGAGAGCAGAGGCAGCACAGAGTGTTAGCAAAGTTCACACTGACTGTACTAAACCAAAGCTGGAAAACTATAGCATGAAGCGGTCTTGGCGTGAACATTAACACAATTTCAAGGTGGTAATTAGAAAGCCATGCACTCTCGTTAAGGCAGAGTTGTTGTTCTGTCTTTTTTGATTGGTGTAAAGTTGGCAGCAGCTGCAGTGTGCCAGCTCTGTGTGGTAAACATCATCGCCTTCTGAAGCTGCTTCAAATAAAGTTTGTACTGCTGTAAATGCTTCAAGGCTTCCAAACTGAGAAGCAAAAAAAAAAAAGAAGCAGTAAACACAAAAGTACAGCAGGCCAAATTTGTTGCCTAGCGCCCAGCTATAAAACAGTTAGATGTTGGCTTGTTCTTGCCTGCTGTTCAGGTCACATATGTCACTTTTGTTTTTCAGGAGGCCCTGAGGTACTTTAACGAGACGACCAAGCAGAAGGAGATGCTGGAGTTTGCACTGAATTACCTACAAACAGAGGATGAGGTATGTTGCTGCAGGGCAGCAGAGTGATATTGTGAGCACAGCAACCATGCTTAAAGTCCAACTGAAGTCACATTTAGTTATCTATTTTTGAAGCAAAAGTAATATTGTGTTCTTTTAAATGTAGTTTTAGATTTTTATTTTTTAAAGGAAATAAAGAAAAGGTCATTGAAGCGAGCCTATGTAACTGTTTTTTAACAGCACCACTGTGGCCACAATTGTGACATAATGTTAAAGGGATACTTCGCTGATTTTCAACCAGCTTTGTTTCATAACACGGTGGGTAGTAGGTGTAAATGAATGGTGGTAAACTTCCCTCCATGTAACCAGTGCCTAGATATCCCTCTTCCCCTTCCAGTGGAACTTTGCTGGATGATGCAAAATGGCACCTGGCGAAGTTTCCCTGGCTGGCACCCAAAGTTTTCTTTAGAAACATATTTTAGTGCCCTGTTTAGCTGTATTAGCGAGAGTTTGTGAACAGGAAGTGGGCACCATACTGTTTCCCGCACAGTGAAAACAGGCTGAAAAAAAACTGTGATTCTGTTACTGCGTTGCCTATTATTTAGTTCAGATGTTTTAAGAAACATATTTTAGCTCACTGTTTAACTGTAATATGCGATCATTTGTTACCAGCCGGCAGCCACTTTGTCAAACAGACAAGTTTGCATTATGTCACCCACCAGCGGGAGCGTTTATTGGTCTGTTGTGGCGCAATGCATTCTGGTAGTTGTAGATTTTCTACCTCTTGAGCAAAAGCTAATGCCACAGCCCTTTTTCTTGTCTTGTAGCGCCACTTTAAAAGTATTTGTGTCTTTCTTTCTACTGCATAGACAGACCAGTTTCAGTTTCAAATAATGGGGTGAACATGTGGAAAAGTAATACCTGTGAGCAAAAACTTCAAGCTTCAGCTTCAGCTTGTGACAGATTATATGGTTATCTGCTCCAGGCATGTTACTACAAGCGTTTACAGTACATACACTGCTATGCGTGTAGCTACATGTTAACATCAGAAAAATCTTTAATCTTGGCTGCTGATGTTGTTAATTTCTCCCTGAATTTTGGATCATATTCCTGCTGGAACATGTCCAATTGTGTTTAGAAGCTTTTACTGGGGATTTTTAAAAAGAGACAGTGACGGTATTCTCCGTTAAAGTCATTCCCTTGGCTGCAGTGCCAGTGCAGAGACAGTGAGATGTGAAAGTCCTGGAAATGTTGACCAGTCCGAGCAGACTGGGCTTTCTTGGGAGGGGAACTTAAAGAGACAGGCTCTAAAATGTAGCGTTTCAGGCAGAGGGTGAATACAGCACAGACAGTATGAGAATAATTAAGTGTTTTCTGAACATTAAAGCATGCAAACATGTTCTAATAGAAACCCAAATGACAAGTATGAACCTTCAAATTAGCGTAATAGGTCCCCTTTATAAACCAAAACATTGTGGAAGTAGCACAAATAGAGAAAAAGAAAGTCTATAGATCACACCAGACCAAATTAGGTTGTAGCGGCAAAGCTGTGGAGCACATTAAATTGAGAAGTGGTTCATTTTATTTTTTTCATTTGTGAGAGGAAGACAGATATTTCCTCTTTCAAAAGATAAATAGTCCTGCTTTAAATTAGGAGCCAAGTTTCCTCTCGGCTTAAGTGTCAACAGATACTTAATCTGCAGAAATATGAGCTCTGTAGCTCTATCACCATGACTATCTATGCACGTAGAAATTTCATGAAGGAAACAGTAGATTACACACCAAAGGACCAGTTCCCCCAAACTAGACATGTTTTTTTCCTACTTACTCCAAGTATGTTGCTATACTGATTTTATCTGATGAGGTTTTCAGATATCCTTCCCTGAGACTTTTTTTTCTTAACTGCACAAACAAAATTCCTTTGTGCTGGGGTGATGGCAGCAGAGGTTTCACAGACAGACACCTCAAAACCTCAGCAGATAAAACCCAAACTGTCTGCATGACTTTTAGTACAAATTCCACTTTTTTTATTTTTACCTTTTAAAAAAATGTAGTAAAATATCATAAAACATATTTGAGGATATAAACTTTAACTGTGGAGTACACCAGCACACTCAATGCAAGCTGCTGTTGAGGTTACAGAAAGGGTAGCACAAGAAAAAAGAGGATGAAAGGGAGAGAAAGAGGGGATGAAGGCTGTGTAGAAAAAAGCAGGAGGGGGGGTGCTGTGTGTTCCGCCAGCAGCGTGTGGTATGTGGCTTGGAGGTGTTGGCCACTGAGGCTGTGCCACATCTATTTAACTCAGGTCAGCCCCTCCCATCTCTACACACAGCCTGGACCTGAGATTTGGGGAGGACTGTGAGAGAGTTTAGTGAATTACAGGGTGCATGTGTGACAGATTTATAGACATAAAAAGGAAAAAATGTGAGTTTTGCAATATAGAATGGAAGTAAGATAATAAAATGGTTGCTTGCTGTTGACTGAGTGTTTTTCATGTTACCTTTAAGGGAGAGGTCAGTCCAGAAGAAATGGCCTCCTCATACTCGGAGCATCCTGATGCTGAGTTTGAGGGTATGGGAGACTATGAGGAGTCCTTCCTGGCTGAGTGGTGGCAAGAACCCAAAACTAAGTGGGACGCTGGGGAGATTGCAGATTGATATCTGTCCTATCTCCTGTCCAGCTCTGTCCCACCTCTCAAGACTACAAAACCAAAGAGTGTTAACCTCCATACAGACAGACATCGACATTCCCAACAGTATTTAGCAGAAAAAGACAACTCGGCCGTGTACTTTGACCCAGCTGAGAGATAAAACTAATCTGTCATGTTGATCAAGATCAGAGATCGACTTATTCTGTCTTGGCTGTCATCAGCCTTTTAAAACTGTTATTTTTATAATTAGTCATCAGCCTGTTTGTCAATACTTTGTCATTGACTTTTCTACAGTTTTTATTTACAGTTTTAATTTAATGAAAGCTGAATGCCTCTGTGCAGTGGTGTAAGGAAGGTGACATGTTTTCTTATGCAGAGAGATTTGTCAACCACCAGTTGGGTTGTTGCTGTAATAAATTGCTCATAATTAAAATAATATTTTAATATACTTTTTTGTTTAAGTCATTTTTATTCTATTAGATCATCGAAGATGCAGGAGGTGCAACAACCAGTGTGATTTCAGTATTGTTGAAATTAATAATTGATTAATCTTTATCACAATTTTGATAACTGATTTATCATAAGTAAATTATATTGAAAAAAATGTTTTTTAATGAAACAAAGTAAATTACTTTCTGACTCTATTAAATAAAATGAATATATAGAAAAAAATAAACTAAACTAAATTCAATTAAATTAAATTCAAACATTCAAATTCTGAGGATCTGAGGACATCGACTTTTTGGGCTTTTTCTGACATTTTTTAGACCAAACAACCAATTGAATAATTGAGAAAATAACTGACCGATTGACTATAAAATAAACATTAGTTGCAACCCTATTTTATAGACTAAACAACTGATAAGAAAAAATACAGTAAAATAAAAATAATCAGCAGTCTCAGCCTTACACTGTACTTTATAATTCAACGAAACAATGATAATATACAGTTTTAAACTGTTATGCCCTTAATTACTGTGCTTCATACCCACTGTAATTTAACAAAGATGATTATGATATTTAAAAAATGTCTTTCAGAAGCAGAGAAGTTAGACGTCTCAGAAGTCTAACCATCTATTAAAACCATAAAATATAAGATACCATAACAGGACGTCAGCTCCATGCAAGCGTAGGAGGTGTGGTTTCATGTTTTAGTATTTTATTTTCCTTTCATTTCAATTCAACTACAAGCTTTAGTTCATTTCTCTCCTGTCGTCTCAATTCAAAAAGATAGTGTCTAAAAATATGGGATAGGATGCATCTTATTTTCTCTTTTTTCCCCCCTAAACTTCAAAATCAAACAGACTGTATTTGATACCAACTCTGTACATATTGTATTAATAACAATAGTGCATCTGCCATAGTGCAAAGCTCAAAGGAACCAAACTGACCTCATACACGCATACAGTTTCAGACAAGCTGCCTCCTGGATCCCAGACTAGATCTCTTTAATCTCATTTACCGTGGGGATCGTTACAAAGCCTCTGGGGTGAGGCGTCCGCCCAGGGCTCAGGGCTATCAACAAATGTACAAAAGATTCATGACATTTAAGTGATAGCTGGAATGATAAGAGAGACGCCAGACAGCTTAGCTTCGCTGTTACGCCACATTTAAAGATGCATGGACAGCGTTGACTACGGGAGAAATTTGCAGATGCAGGTCCTGACAGCTATATGTTTGGAACAGATACAACTCATTATTTTAACATAGCTTTTAAATAAATCTTCATACAGTGCATTTAACATTCAGTATATCTTGCACATATTTACAAAGAGGTGTGCATACAGTTGGCTAGTGCTCGTTTTCTGTAGGTACATGACATAAAAACTGTTTTATTAATGTGCTGCCTTTATGGTGCCATGGCTGCAGCACACAACAGTTTGTAGAAAGAGATGATATTCTAGAGGTAAAAACCTGCCTATCTACCTGTGATAGGAGGAGTGTTAAAGTGTACATGGACACAAACTGCCCCTAACACTAATGTAAACACGCATACATTCTTCCTTTCTTTAAAAATCTCTTGCACACGTACATTTACCCGTGAACACACGTACAGATTAAACCTCCTAAGCGTACAAACTTTGGGCCTGAAAGTGGTGAGCACGCACACAGACAGATATTGTGGAATGTATATGTTGATCAGTCTGTGGTTGAAAACACTAAGTTACGGTCTCTGCTGCTTCAAAGTTCAGTGGTTTAAAATGATCCCAAAACCATAACACCCAGCTTCCCTTTTTGTACCTGAAACTTGTGGGTGGGGGCAGGTAGGATGCCTCAAGTTAACAAATAACAATGAACATAAACTCAGTTAATCAGTCTGGGCTCTGGCTCATGGCTGGCTAGTTTCTGAGCCATCACTTTCTATGATCATCAGTCCGTCCTCACACTCTCTTTGGAAAACATGCAAATAGTCCAATGCAGTTGTATCCATGTTGCCAGGCTTTGTAGATTAAAACAGATAGTTGTCCACTTAGAGATGCACCTAGTCATGGCCTGGCCTCGGAGGAACTTCTCCTTTAAGAAAAAAGGAAACTATTCAGCTCCTGTTATGTCATTTCAGTCTGTCAGCTGGCCGGTCTGTGTGCTAGTCCAACATTTAAGTGTGGACTCAGTTGGCGGCCGGTTTAGTTCATATGCAGGCAGGCAGGTTGGAAATACATGTCTCTTATTAAATTGGTCCACCGTTGATATGTTCTTCATCAGACTGTTAAAGATGTGAGTAAAGGAGGTACACAGACACCGAATCACATTCTTAGAGCCACCAGACTGGAGGAAGACCCTGGTGTCTCCCACAGGGAAAGCCACCTGCTCGCTCTACGGCATGGCTCAAACACAGTCCTCAGCGGCTTGCTGGAAGCAGCCACACAAGTATGATTTGGCTGGTATGGTGAGAGGAGCTCCACGGGCCCAGAGGAGGACGGAGCCAGGCAGGAGGAGGACAGACGAAAGGAGCCGACGGGGGAGTGTGGAGGAAACGATGATCGGAAGAGGTTCGGAGAGGTTTTGGGACAGGAGTGGAAGACTTTTTTTTTTTGTTCCCCTCTTCTCTGATGTGGAAACAACACAGTGCGAGGAGGAAGACAGGAGTAGACAGGACACAAAGACAGAGAGACAGACAGGCATCTTATCCTCCGCCAGATCTGAAAGAAAAGTGAAAACAGAAACTGTAAAGAAAAATGCTGCATAGACAACAGTGGATGAGGATGCTTGAGAAATGGAAGAAGGCAATCTGCTTTACAATGATAAGGGAATATTTTGGGATTGGGGACAGGGATGAGGAGGGCTTTTTTTTTTCTTTGCAAGATTTGAATAGGGATGAAGCATTCCAGAAAAAGGAGCAGTGAGATGTATGGCGCTCTGTGGGGATGAGCCAAAAGGATGAACTTCAGATGGTGAATGAAGGAGTAAGAAGCCATGCTGAGGGAATTAGGGATGATGGGAGGACATGGATGTTTTGTCATGCTGCTCCAGCGACAGAATATCACACTGCCATGGTCCTGCAAAGTTATACCTTCCTCTCCGAATGTTCCTGCATCCCATTAGCACACATCAAGAGAAAAGACAACATGTCAAGACACATCAGTGACAGTAGGAAAAATAACAAACAGCTTTGAGAAGCATGTTATGAAGCTGATCATCTTGCATTAGAATTACGTTAAATTTAAAAACAAATAAGCAATGTTAGTTAACAGTTAGAATTGTTGAAACCTTACATACCTTAAAACATCAATTAAAAGCCTAGCCTTTTTTGGACATAAAAGCTGAATCCGCTTTACAGTCGAGATTTAATCACAAAACTGTTTTATATAGATGTTAACTTTAAATTTAAGAGAAAAAACACAGATCAAACAAAGACCCAGTCAGTCATCCAATCCATTATTTCATCCACCAGTTCTCTCCAAAATCTTTCTTGCAAGATTACAGTGATGACATCACATGCAGCAGGTCTACAGTCATCATGGCACCGACTCTCTCAGCCCCAAAGAGTCCAACAAGCCAGAGGTCTGACTAGGAAGACAAAACTTCCTGATTACAGCTCATGCACACATGCACAGACACTGACCCCTGGCCCTAAAAGGACTGACTACATGCTATGAATGATTTAAATTCTGCTTTTTGATTAACAACTTTTCACTGGCCACAGATATCTTACAAATCTACCTGTGACTAAAGCAGAAGCAGTCCTTTTAGGTCAGAGTATTAGGAGTGAACAATAGCAAGCATGCACAGGTGGAACAGTGTAGAAGAAGCACATCAGCGAGGGCGTTTGGGGTTAGGATGCTGCCTCTAGGAGAAAAACTGGGTAATGCAGGCTAAAAGAGCACCAACGGTAAAACGTTAAATAATAACACTTTTTCATAAATGGCTAATAAATCTATTTGACTTGAGCAAAATGCTGCAGCAGTTCCTGGCAGATTAACATCTCGGTCCTGCCCTGTCATTACGATAAAAGGGACTGAAAGGTGCAGGATGGAGCTCAGGGTTGATTAATGATTCAATCAAAGAAAACAAAACGGCCAGAGTGATGCTTCGCACGGATTTTGACGCCAAAAGCAGTTCAAGCATTTGCACGGATGAGCTCAGACTCAACCCCCAATTCCCCCTCCCCTGGTTGGGCGGTGAATTGCAAACTAGGGTCTATCCCAGAGGGGTGAGAGTGGGAGGGGCGGGGGTTTCCTTTAGGTAGAAGCAGACAGGTACACAAAGGCATGCCAGAACTCTTACTTAAATCCCCATCCTGTTCCCCCTAGGACTATAGCTGCCAGGAGAATAGCACCTGCGATGGACCCTATTATGATATTGGTGCCACTGGGACCTGCGCAGAGGAAGGAGGAGGGAGGAAGGGTGCGGAGGAGGAGGAGGAAGAAGAGGAGGAGGAGGAGGAGGGGCAGAAACAAAACAACACCACTAAAAAACACACGTCAGAGGACAGCATCAACACTGTACATCAACAACATCAACTAGAGAGAGAGAAAAAGAGAGAGGCAGATGGTAAGATACCTGCAGACAGAGAAAGAGAGATGAAAGGAAGGAGGAGGATACCAGCACGTGGGGTGGAGGTGGGAGAACGGGCGGGTGAGCGAGGGAGGTCAGGGAGACAACAGTAACAAAAAAAACAAACAAAAAAAAAGCAAAGGAGAGAGAGTTTTATTACTTTGTTCTCATTCCCCCTCTCCTGCTCTCTCAGCTGGACACCCTCTTGCTCAGGGTGGCTTTTTTGGCCCTATGAGAGCAGCTGCTCAATTGCTCTGTGTCATTGGCAGACTGCAAGAAAGTAAGGAAGACACTTGAAGATGCCTGCAAGACATACAGTACCACCACACACACACACGCACACACATTTACACTGACACACTGTACATGCACATATGCTCTAATGGATAAACGTGTCTCAACATACACCCACACTCTTCCAACATTGAAACCAGGGCTCAGCAGGAAGGAAAACACTGTGCGGTCTAAATGTTGATGTTTCTCACAACAATCAGGTGAGCTACTCTGTGTGTTCGAGGACAAGATACTGCACTCGGCTTCAGTGCATAGAAACGCTACAGTGATGATGGGTAGAGACTATGAGAGGGAGATGAGAGGCAGACAGAGAGAGAGAGAGACATGGGCAGGTTGAGAGACACTATGGACCTTTCTTCTCTGGGCCCGTCGGGACTGTTGGCTCGGGGATGGGATCAAAGACACTGCAGTCCTTCCCTGTATAGTCCCTGTCACAGATACACTTCACCTCATTACTGCAGGTCTACAAGAGAGACAGAGAGAGGGAGGGGGAGCTGAAAATCAAGTGCAATAGCTGGTAAAAGAAAGAGACAAGCAGAGAGAGATGTTGAAACTGATATGTAGCCGGTAAGCATGGATTTGGTGATTTGCAGCCTGGGCGCCGGAAGAAAATGGTGGCATTGTACATCTCTGCACACCACAGATATGTTGCATTTGTACATTTCATACATATCATATCAACATTTCCAAACTGATGTAATATGAGTTGACTTCATCATCGAGAAGGTAGAGGGGATGTTGGATGGCGTGACACCTAGGTGATACGACCTACAACTAAATCGACCCACATTTGTTAGTGCCTTTCTAGTCATCCGAATACTCAAAGCGCTTTTACACTATGAGTAACATTCACCCATCCACACACACATTCATACACTGGTGGCCAAGGCTACCATACAAGGTGCCACCTGCTACTCAGTTTGTTTAACATAGTCACACAATGATGGAACAGCCATCAGCAAATTTGGGCTCAGTATCTTGCTCAAGGATACTTCGAGATGCAGACTGGAGGAGCCAGAGGTTGAACCAATGATCTTCCGATTAGTGGATGACCCACTCTGCTTCAGTTGTTTTTATGTGAGTCATTGCTGCATTTCCAAAGGCTTTTAAGCACCACACATGGGTGTTTTTCAGCGACCCATTGCTGTGTTTTCACCTGGGACAATGCCATGAAAAAGCAGTTGTTTAGTGCCACCAAAACTAGATATTTTAAGCCAAAACATAATCTTTTCCTATCCATCACTAAGTGCTTTTGTGCTTAAACATAACCACACATTAACTACAGCACTGTTGAATTGTTAAGTTTTAGGGTATCTGCAACATAATATTAGAAATATAACGTTTCCTTGATCTGCAGAAACACACAATGTCAACATTTATTTTGGCAACTGGGTTGGGATTTGCAGCTTAAAACAAATCTATGAATCTGTTAAGACTGAATTTCAAGTGAAACCTTTTTTTTTAGACTTCAACAGACATTCAATTAGAGTATTTCAACATGTAGTTTAAACCTATTGCACAGTAAAATAAAGTCATTTAGATACTGTTGAAGCAATACCTGCAATGTGTATTTGAATTTTGACCTTAAAATTTGGTAGATTAAAAGCAGAAGAAATCTTTAACATAAAAACAATAGTCATATCACCTATATTTAGATGTGAAACAGGTCCTAAATACATGTTAGATTATAGTTATGAATGAAACAGTGGATCTACACATAATGTTCCATTTTTGTTGACACTGTCATAAAGGTATTAAATTTTATGTGGACTGAGGACCAACAATTAGAGACACCTCTCTATAAAATGTAGTCAGTACAATACAACCTTTAACTATAATCTCAATACTAAACATATCTTTATCAACAATGTCACCAAAAACACTGAGGAGCTTCACAAACATAGATGTTATGGCAAGGCTGTTGGATGTACCTAATAAAGTGGCCACTGAGTGAATGTACCTAATATGTCTGAAAAACATTCACTTGTACGATAAGAGGGACTTAATTCTTGTCAGTCTGTGTACACTGCAGTACAAAGAGGAGTGTCTTGATGTCTTTTGACCTGCAAATCACCAAATCAATGCTTGCAAAGAAGTTGTGAGCGCAAGAATTTTTTACCCCATGGTCAGAACAGATGCGCCCATAGTTGGATCCCGAACAGCTGCTGAGGTTGAATGCCGCCACAGGGAGGCAGCGTCGCTCCAAACACATCATGTTGGGACCACAGGGAGTGCCGTCCTCCACGTAGCCCAGGTCTGAGCCGTCCTCCAGCAGAGCATGGCCGCCTCTGTGTGAAGCATCCAAACATGTCAGGCAGACGGGAGATAAGGGGGTAGAACTAGACATTTAGGGACATGATATTTAAATTTTCACACCCTATATTAGTTGTAGCAGATCAAATGGACTGCTTACCTGCAGTCCAAGTACTTGTTCTGGTGATAGAGGGTGAAGCTGGTCACCTCACCCTGCAGGTCTCCAAACTTTGGCTTCATCGTCACATTGGCACAAAACAGAAAGCCACATAAAACATCCCTACACAGAAAAAAACATAATGGCAGAGGACAATGTGCATTAAAAAAGCAGAAAAAGGTGAACACGCTGTCTTCTATGAGAATATAAGCAAAGAGGATCAGGATAATGTGACTCACGGCTTGTTGCACTGCAGCCAGCCTTGACCTTCAGGGCCTGGACCACAGTTGCCTTTCTCTGTCCCCTCAGCGTTCAGCTTCTCATAACAAAACCTGTCCGCTGAATCTGAGAGGGCAAACGAAGACCTAAATTAGACTGTCGCAAGGGGAATGAGACTACATGAGCCCTTTCAAGGTGCATGTGTTCTATACTTACTATAACCCCAGAGTCCCCTACATTGTCAGTCACGAGTCCTGCATCGTCCTCCGTAACAGCGGCCCTGAAGAAATGAGACAACAATAATCACGCACATGTCGGAGTGCAGCATGCAGACTAGCAAACATGACACTAACCAGACCTTACCTGACTTGTGTCACACATGTAGCCATCCAGCTTGTGGACGTTATGAGGACACTGCAAAAGGAGCAAAGTACTGAATGTTCTAGACACTCTGGTTGATCTTGCAGTTTTTCTTCAGTGTTATGAAAGTCAGCTCTACCTGGCTGGAGTCTCCGGTGCAGGTCTCTGGGATATCACAGTCGTTCACAGCCTCTCGACACACCACGCCTCTCCGCTCATACTAGGTCACAGCATAAAGAGGCAACAGGTAAATGCTGGATACGTCATGTTAGTAATCATACAGGCTATAGAGATGAGATGACACTTTGCTGAATTTATTACAGTTAGTTTAACTTTTCTTAAACAGTTTTTACGCTCTATAAAAGAAAGCACTATAATTATACACCAGGGCACGCAGTGTGAATCCCTTGACAGTAAGATAGAAGTTGTGGAGGCTGAAGCTCAAAACAAACCGTATCTCTTAAACTCTACTGATGAGCGAAACCGAAGAAGATGGATGCCCAATGTGTTATTTGGTTAAAAAAACTTCTCCTATTGCATGCAGAGAAAATAACTGTTGCTGGTACTGTTTACAAACCTTATCATTTATAGGAACACAACACACAAAAATGTTTTAGCTCAGCTTCCCTTTTTTTCTTGTGCGTGTGTGTCATTTTGTATCATTCTGTGTCCCCTCTCTACATTCGGAGTTTGAGTTGCAGGTTGGAGAATTTACCAGTCAATCTGATCAGAGCTGATCAGATCGATGGATGACAGGAGCAGCTGCTGCAGAGGCAAGTCAACCAAACTCTTACACCCAGTGCAATGACTGGTTAAGTTTCGCTTTCATTACACCTGGCGATCTGCTGCTCAGAGAGTGTGGTGCAGTGAGTAACCGCTCAATGTATTTATTCCAATAGTGCTCCTAAAATAATAAAAAAAATCAATACGTGGCGGCAGATGATGTTATCATGGCGGGCTGCCAAAAATAAATGAATGTGTGGGAAACCCCGGTACACACTAAGCTGCTGTTTTCTTTTTGTCTGTCTGTTATTGATGCTTATAATGTAGCCTGGGCCCATATTCATGTTCATAATCATCAACATCTGTGCATGCCAGTATGTTACCGAACCAAAAGTCAAAATTCAAATGAAATTTCACTGGCATCTGATTTTGGAGAAATAGATAAATAGCCAAACATGAGCAAAGATTATGATTCTCTTACTTAGCAATAAATATAAAGTGATTACATTCTGCACATCTCAATTCCTCTCTAGCAGCAAGGCAATGGAGATAGTGTGCAAAGGACGCCTCACCATGCACGTTTGGCCGTTACCACAAAACCTCATCTCAGTGAGTTCGCAACATTTTGCCGCAAGTCAGTTTATATGGAAGCCAGCACGCTACAGTGGTCAATGTTCTTTGCAGTGACAAAGGTACACATAAAAATGGCCACCACTGTGATCATCCTGCTATGCTGGTTTGAATGGAAATGTCCGTCTTACCCTCATTCTATTTCTATGGCGTGCACTCACCTTACAACTACTGCAGCAGAGTCCATTACTGCACATGGCATCATGGGTAAGTGTGCACTTTTTACAGCAGGCTCCTCCGCTACGGGCACACTCCTGCAGCCACAGACATGAAAACAAACCTTCAGCTCTGCTCCAGAAAACAGCTCAAGAATTAGCTTTAATGCATGATGTCCAAATGGGTACTCACCACCTGGGATCCACAGTCACACTCTTCTCCTGGCTCCACGAAGCCATTCCCACACTCTGGAGGGTCCAACAGCTGAGAGAGACAGAGATGGACATATATGAGAACATATATAACTAGGTGACAGATGGATGAGAGATGAAACATATCAGTGATATAGGAGACTGTTGGCTGAGACTACAGAGATACTAATATGCGTAACATAAATGTATCATGGTCCTCTGAGTTTGTGTTTTCTGTTGGAAATTAGGCTACAAGAATAATTAATTAGTCTATAACTATGATGCTAAGCACACCCTATATCCCCACATGGCCCTCACCTTGTTTGGCTTGTTGAACAGGCAGCTCCCGCCCCCCTGGAGCAAGAACTGGATGTACTCATCTACACTGCAGCGAGAAAACTTTCTGGGCAGATAATATCTGTGTTCACACACACAAACACACACACAAAGATCGAGAGCAGGACATTAAAAAGTAAAAGAATAAGTGAAAAAAAAACAGCACAATGCTTTTCCGCCAGTTAGGAATGCCAGATCCACTGTGGGTGGCTGTGCCATCACTTTGCAATCTGACAGAAATGTTACCATCTGTAGTAGGATATTACTCAAACGAATAATTGAAATCTGTATTGTTCCATCTGGCAAGGACAGCCAAATCGAAATCACGCTTAGTGTATGGTAAATACTTCAAATTTAATTTATAATTCTTACAAGGTAGCTGGCACAATGAGGTCTGATGTTTCAACAAGTTTTCTTAACACATCAGACACAAGCTGTGATTATCACAGGCTCGGCTCATTGAAAACTGTGTCAAAGTCAAAGCATCCCTCTGTTCCAGGTGTTTAATTGTCTAATTGAGTGAAATGAACGGAACAAATCGCAGCTTAGAGGGAGAGCGACAGGAAAACAGGCCTGCTGCTTAATAGTGTCAACAAACACAGAAGAGATGCATTTTACAGGTGTGTCATGTTCTTTTTGTTGTTCACTTCAGTGATCTATGATGGATCTTTACCCCGTGTCTTCCATGATGCAGCCCAGCCAGGCATCTGGGCACCTGCAGTCTCCTGTGAAGAAGGAGGAAGAGGAGCAAAGATGAGACGGGGAAACCTGAATAAATTACATGAAATTAAAAAAAAAGGAACAATGTGGTGTTCATGGCCCGAGCCGTGACACTTCACATGCTGCAGCAAGATTTATGATCAACAAAGAAGAATAGACTTGTAAAACTGGTACCTATTAACAGAGGTATGGAGCGCCTATAGAGTATGCACTGAGCTCTTGTCCTGGCATTGAATAATGGACCTGATGGCTCTTCAACATTAATCACTGAGCCCATTGTTCAGTGGCAGAAATGCTCTAACCAGCAGCCCCTCCCTCTTAGACACAGGTGACTAATCACCTAATGGAGAAGTCTAATTACAAAAGAGGACTGCTGGACAGGGACACCAACACCCAACGCTGTCTCTACCACCCCCCTTCAATACAGTCCCCTCCTGCCTCGATCCTCACCACACTGATCTTGAGCTCTTGCTTTGATAATTTATTTAATTACCTGCAGAGTTGCGGATGTTATTCCACCTCATACCGACGTTCTGGCCGAGACTCTGGCACAAAGTGATGGCCATTGCTCCTACATTCCCATACTGCGACACACACACATAGATTCAACACAATGAGATGGGGATAACATTAATAAAATCCTAATGGTAACTTGGGTTGCACCAAACAGGATGTACTTAAAGTGGCAATCTTTAAGATTTTAGTCCTCTGTGATTTGGTGACACCTGTAGTAACTGGTAGTCAAAGAGCTCTGCGGGCAGCGAAACAAATTGTTGTTCTTTTAATTAAGAATTCAGGCAATAATTCGACTTTTAGAACCATCAATTCTGTGAGCAACCATAACTGATTTTAAACTGCTCCGTGTATGAGTCTGCAGACAGCAGAGCACAGTGAGAGGAGTTGGTTAGTCGCAGCTCTCTGTGGCTGCTTGTTCTGATGCCATTACTGCCTGCAATATTCCAAACTGATCCAGTGTCAACAAATGCCAAAAATGATCATTCTCTTGTTTGATCAACATATTTTTGATGAATGATAACGGTAAGTGCTGAGCTCACTGAAAAACACATTGCATTTCCTGTAACCCCCTCATAATTAAAGTCAACTGGTGTTTCGCTGGTTTAACACCAATGGGAGCATCCATTTGCATATCTATTTTTAAATGTTGGTAGAATTGCAACAAAATAAGATAGAGCAATAATTCTTTTTGCATATAAAACTGGAGGAGTTACATTAACATATCTCACATTCATTGTGTCCCAGAGCACTGTTTCCTTGCACTAATGGGTTTGTAGAAATCCAGTAAAAAGCGCACACAACAAAAACATTATAATCCAGATCGCGGGTGTTCACAGCACTTCCCACATTGGAATTAGCTTCATCATGTTGTGAGCATGACCTAATTTTCTTGCGTGTATTTAGAAAAAAATGTGTTAAAAAAAATGATTTTCATTTTTTGGGGGTTTATTACACTTTTAGCATATTATTTTATTAGTATGGACATAAGTCCAAACATACTATTAAAATTTGGGATATAAGGGTTGTATTGATGTATAGTGTATTAAACTACTCAAAAAATGGCACTACAGCATGTAAAAATGTAAAAGATATGCTCTGGAGGACTTGTTCTATGGTAGGTCTTAAAATTTGGAAATGTTTTGTTTGCAATAGCAGTAATTTAATACAGCACTTTGGCAAATGTCACCCTCAACACCCACTTCATAATACTGCAAATATATATAAATATTGCAGTACTTTCATCAGTGGGCCATAGGCTCAATCAACACTGTTACCATTTGTTTCAGTGAAAATCTTTGAGATTATTACTTTCAAACCATAATTAAAATAATACATAGGCTTTGTTGCTTTTTTGCTAAGCGTTAATGAGAAGATTGAAACCACTCCCATGTTTTTATGATACAGCCACATCCAGCGGCCCGTTAACTTAGCTTGGAGCTATCACTGACTCCAGCTACATGTTTACCATACGAATACGAGTGTCACAATCTCTGCAAGAAAGTCAGTAAGTATATTTCTAAACTATTCCTTTATTTTATGGTTTATTTAATAACTCTGTTGCAATAAAAACTCGAAACCTAAAGGAGCTGTATACAACATTCAGAGCAGAGTCCGAGCCAGGATTGTCTGCCCATGGTTCTCAACATGGAGGCGGCTGGGCAGGCAGCTAGTAGTGTTAACAGTGTAGACAATGCCAACAATGGCAACAACAGTGCTGACAGAGCTAATGGTGTTAACGTGTAGGGGGGGACCCCTACCCCCCTGCGATAAGCTAGCCAGTGGGATACACACACAGGGACTCCCATGCACTAATATCAAGCGCTGCCGGACTGTCTGCCATAACATCAGGATGCCATTATTTCACTATATCTTCACACAGACATAGTAATAGTCGTTCGCTACTATATTAATACTCTGAATGTCACATACACTTCCTTTAATATTATCTAAATAACTAAACACGTTTAACATGCAAACTTCATAATCTTTAGTCCTCTCCTCACCATGTTGCACCAAACTTTTACCTCTGATCTAAAATGACAGTTGAGGAGGTTCAATATAAAAACTTTAATCATCATCACACTTTATCTTTTAAATCAATGGTTTAATTTAAACTGTGCAACAAAAATGATCTGGTTTAATCTTATCAGTCTGTATTTAGCTAAATCATTATCTATAGTTTAATTTAATCCCCGTTGGTGCAACAGAAAAAATAACCCCTTTAGATTTTCCTCACCTCGTTGATGCCTCCTCCACGTGTTAGAGAGCACACTCCTCCTGTGTAGGCCGTCCCACTGCGGCTACTGTGAAATGTGCGCCCTCTGAGGTTCACAGGAAAGATACCATGATTTAAAATAAAACCTCAACTTGCACCCAAACATCAAATAAGCCTTAATTCTCAAGATATTAGATTTCTGTCCTCTTACGAGAAAAGATGGACGACGTCACTCTGATCTTTGATGTTGTCCTTCCTGTATTTCATGAAGTTCTGCAGCGTTATCAATGGATCTTCCACTACTGGCATCATATTTTTAGAGATCCAGGTCTCCATGGCAACCAGCACGATCCTTGTGTTCAACTGTTCCTTATAGATCTGGGGACCAAAAAACGCCCATCAGTTTACCGTTTTGTTGGCGTGACACCTGTGCTGTGAACACTCTGTGTGCTTTCTGGGATAAATCATTTTCAAATGTGGAAATAAAAAAAACACACTTCTCGACAGGTGGCGGTGTGTGTGTGTAGAGTTTAGGAGTAGGAGGATTATAATCCTTCAAACAAAGCTCTTACCGCATCTGCCATGTTGACCACTGCTTTGGCAAAGTTCTTGGTTTGGCTGCTAGAGCGACGCAGCTGTACAAACTGTGGAGACACAGAGATACACAGATGGTGTAACATTCAGTCTCTCACAAACAAGTTTGTACTTCTATACTTGTATGGATGCTGACATAAGGCGTTACTTTATAGGAATGTTTCACTGACTTTATTGCCATCTGCATCGGCAGATCAAAATGCTGGCAAGTATTTGTATCCAGTTTCTAACTTTTGCTTTATTTCCAGCTTTATTTTGTCTTTACTCATTTATGACAGTTATACCTATGAGGGCAGCTTAGTTTACTTTCACCATTGCATACTCTGATGTCAGTGGATGCATGATGAAGTTAGCAGTCTGCCTGTGCAGCCTCTGTCAGCTTTGCAGCGATAGAAAAATTTCCAGCAGCCTAAATGTAGCTTTTTCATGTGTCTACATTTGTGAGACAAGCAAACATGATAGCAACTGGTAACCCAATTTTGCAATGCAATGTATGACTGCAATGTAACATTGAAAGGGTGCACTGTCAGTTTACGTCCACTGAAAGTGTGTTTTTGCCACTGACAGGCTCAGATTGTTCAACTGTCTGGAAACATTATAGAAAGGAACCCTACAGAGATAGGCCTTTTTGTTAATGAGTAAAATCCCCTTTGTTTAACCAGAAACCAAACCCACCACGCTCCATTAAAAAACATAATTTTATATTCCTAAATCACACCTCATTCAGAGTCAACAGAAACTAAATGAAACAACAAAAAATGTCTTGATTGGTCTTTCCATTGTTCCAACAACTACCAACTCTAGCATGGCTAAAATAAACCCTTAATTCCTCCAATTAGACGTGAAGATATGCTGGTTGCATGCACATTAAAAATCCTGTGTATTTAAATGGAGACTGGTGGGTTTGCGCTGACGATTTCGGGACTGATTTTTGGTCAATGCAAAAGGATCTTACTCTTGAAAAAACAGGTCTATCTCTGTGGGAATTCTTTTCATAATGTTATCAGACACATAGATTAACAATTTGAGCCTGCCAGTGGTAAAAACAAGCACTTTTAGTGGATGTAAACTGATGGTGCACAAATGGCTCAGGTGGTTACAATGCAGCCTGTTTCCCTGTATTCACTCAATGCTGGACCAGTTTCAAAACTTGTTGTTCCCATTAGTCACTTGGACACAAATACCTGGGAAAACAGGGTTCAGGCTGAAAGTAAAAATTAAGTCATTCTTTGATACACACATCCCCAAGCCATGCTGGTAGATGGTTAACCTCACAAACCATGCTGGTAGATCTAGACACTGTTGGACAGCCTCTATCACCCAGAACACTGTGCTTTCTCAGGATGACAAAGACCACCAGCACAGGACAGATGTCCACATAAACCACAGCAATAAGTACTTTCAACTCACCATGTCGTTGTCATTGACCACCATCAACTCAATATATTTGGTCTCAGTCTGGACCGAGGGCTTGCGGGCATATCTCTTGGATCGCCTCAGCCCCCCAGACACCTGCTGCTCCCTCATTTGGTCTGGTCTGTCGTCATCATCATCACCATCACCTCCTGTGCTATCCCACTCACTGTCCTCTGTACAGTCTGGACACAGAGAAGCGGAGCTGTGGGCACTTAAAGCAATATTACTTTTCCTGTGCTATACGGTGCAGTGCAAACATCGCTATCTCATGTTCAGTCAAAACATTACAGTTCCCTCTCAGAAAAGCTGTGACTGTTATTAACCCCATGTCTGAACAATTTTTTAATAACATAAGCAATATATAGAATATTAAATAACATTTATCTTGATATTATTGAAACAGTTATGGATTAGAGGTTGGGTCTTATTTATCTAACTGAAGGTAAGGTGGTTATATTAAATGTAATAATGGTAAGAAGATGAGGAAAGACTTGAAGGCAATATTAATATAATATTCTGGTGTGATATATGAGTGTCAGTAATTTATGTTTTAAATGCACTTATGTACCTGGGCAGCGGGGGGAAAGTCTGATATCAGGCATCCTGCGGATTAAGTGAGCACCATCATTCTAAAACAAAATACACCCAGTTGTCATTAGGCGCATAAGGATCTCAAATAAACAAAATAAGCTAATAATAAGTAAATAAATCTGTAATTATCATTACAACTACTGTCCACTGACTATTTACCTGATTGCTCCCATTCTGTATGGGCTCAATCCCGTAAGAGAAGAGGCCATCAGAGAACATGCCACTAAAGAACCAACAAGGAGAGAAAGAAAGGGAGATGCAGAGGAGAAATTTAACATATTAAGAAATTATGTGTGCAGAAAATATGCACAGGACAACAAATGTGATTATTTAAATAAAGTTCAGGCTCACCACAGGCCGTGGCAGGTGGAGAGAGCTGCCCAGGACGCTGGTAAACCTCTTAACCTTCCCTGGTAGTAGCAGTGCTCCCCTCCCTGTGGACACAGCGCACCACTACTTCATGAAACAACATCTAGTGACACACTTCAGGCTCTCTTTTATACTTCATTGGGTATCGTAATAGGTCAACTCCAAGGGAAAACCTTCCACAACCTCTGCACGTGTGACCCCCCCCCCTCTTTCCCCACTATAGCGTTTATGGTACAGTTTGTGACCTACTTGTGTCCTGCGCTCTACTCTATTCTGCTTCACTGACAACAGAGGTGGAGGTAGACCTTTGACAAGGATCTCTTCAATAAATCAACACTCACATTGCCCACACAGTTTGCTCTGAGAATTTAACATGGCATGACGGCACAGTGGGCAGGCTGCACCAGAAAAACACAGGATGAGAGTAAAAAGGGAACTGAGCTCTGCTCTTTACTGTCCTTATAACAACCTTGACTACCACAATAGAGCGTGAGCTTTTGTCTGCGGCTAACACTCCCTCAAAAGCGGGCGTGCTGCCTCACGCGGTCACAGCAGGTGAAAATGAACCACCAGGAAAGGTGAGTACAGTGAGAAACACTGGTTCACCTGGATCAAATTGGGTTCACCAGGGTGTCTCAGCCTTGCCACAACAGCTCAGCCAAACAACGCCTCGGTGCTCTGAGTGGAAACGAAAGCATTCTAGCAACAGAGATCTGCCTGGTGACGTGTTGCCCTGGATTCGTCGCACCTGCCATGTCCAGCAGCGGCATCGGAGGCGTCACGTGAGGCTTCCATCCAGCTGAGCAACAATCTGGCCTGACTACAGGTCTCCATCCCCAACCCTATAAGCCTCCTGTCTGTCCCGCCACTCTGGGAACAAACCGATTGTCTATGAACACGCATACACCCCCCAAATTACTCCTCCCTGTTCCAAAGCTCATCTTGTCTTTGTATTAACTGGTATTTTACTCCTCATTTTCCCTCCTCCTCCTCCTTCTCCTCCTCCTCCTCTCGCCGGCTCTGCTCTTCCCTCCCTCTTGCTCTTCTTTCATTCTCTTCGCTGCCAAGAACTTAATGACACTGCTGAGCTAACTCATTGCTATGGAAACAGGCTTTTGATTGGTCAGGAGGACTGAGGGAGAGTTTGGAATGATTGTTGGGGGGGACATGGAGCGGTGGCTGGGTGGGTGGGTGTCTACTGGGGTGGGGGGGGGGGGGGCACATTTGTACAAGAAAAAAAAAACAACATTAGCCATCCCTGCTGGCTAGCAGAATGCAGTGACATTCCTCTGGTCTGTCCTGACAAGCGCACATCACATTAGATGTCAAGGCGTTCATCCATTTTCCTGTTATCTCTTAATTCATTCTCTGACCTTGTGGTTTTACACCACAGGCATCTGCTGCCTTTCTTCTTGACCGTCTGAGAAAGGCCACAGCAGCGAGGCATGCAGGCACGCCGCTGACAGGAAAAACCCACGTATGTAGAGCACAGTAACGTGCATAATCTCAACAGTTCCACGGCAGCCTACTTTTGAAGCAGAGAGCACACAATGCACTTTCTATAAATAGATAAAACGGGCGATCAAACTGCAACAACATCAATAAAACATTGCAATCACATTAACAAAAGATAAAAACAAACAGGAAGCACGTGTTTTATTTCTAAAATCAGACTTCAATCAAACAGATCTGCGTTAGATGACCATAAAATATATATACAAGATATGGAAATTGTGTTATATAACGAGCTCTAATAGTGAGCTACTGCATCTGACAAGCAAAACTTTAAATTAATTCTAAGACTCACTGGCACCAGCACCAGTGTAAAATGTGACAAAGTCTCAGTTTCTGCAGCCAAAGAACTGAATGCTGCACCGCCACTCCGGTCATCTCATTAATATGCTGCCTTCTGTGTGCCAAAAGACAAGTTCACTCACTAAAATTCTGTCAGCACACATCCCCACCCCACGCAAACAGCCTTACCACTGACTGTGAGGGTCTGCCATCCTGGTTAAAGTGCCGCTCCACATATTCTGAAGACAGAAGGTGACTGCAAAGAGAGGAGAGATACCATGAATATCTCTAAAAGCATTATCTCTATCGCCTTGTAATAAAAATTGGTTTCATCAGGGTTATTTTCCACCTCTTGTTCCCCCCTTGAATGTGTTTCACAAAGAATAAGTGGACATATTAACATGTGGTGTTAATAAAATCAGTGGAACCTCATAAACATGCACCAGTGTGTGTGTGTGTGTGTGTGTGTGTGTGTGTGTGTCACATTGGTATTCCCCATCTTGTCATGTAACATAATAGAGGCGCTAAGTGCATTTGCTTAAGTGCTGGGAAATGCTAATGAGGACAGCTGCAGCGAATTAAAAGCGCCTACTGATACTGTACTGAAGTGTGTACAAAAAGGCAGATCTGATGATTTTTGGATGATAATACTAACTGGTTTAGCTCCAGATCCAGAGTGAAGGTGTGTCCAAAGGCTTCCACTTGGAAACAGCTCTGGGCCAAGTGGACGGGCTGAAAAAAAAAAAAAAACAACCCCACAGTGACAGAGACAGATTTGATAGTTGATAAATCAAAGTGTAACAAAGCAATTGTAGTTGCCGCTCTGTAAAAGCCACAGAGTGATTGTGGAAAAAGTCCCATGAATAATTCAACAGAATCAATACTGTGTACGCTCTAAAAGCAACTCGCCGGTTGAAATATTATGATTGATAAAGTCTCCATTGATCGACAGTGGCTGCCAACATTCGGGCAGGCCTGACTGCGGAGAGCTATGGCTGTTTAAGAGCTAAGCTTGAATTTCGTGATGGAGATGGATGGAGAGGAAGGAGGCAAGAAGGAGGGGAGGAGGAGAAGGAGAAAACTGTGCTGGTATGGTCTATATCAGTGGTCATCAATTACACTTGTTGAAGGGCAAGATTTTTTCTAAGTAGAAACTGTGAGGGCCAGACTTTGAAAAAAAATACCCATTTTGACCTAATTAGCCTATAATAGTTTCTTGATATTATTAATACTTGTTTAATAACATAAGAAAAATATTTTATTCATTTTATTCCTGGTTCAGACCAGGCAAATATCAGTGAGACCAGTGAGTGACAGAGAGAGGGAAACAGAAGGTGGAAGGTGGACTATTGCATGCAATGTTTCTCTAAGTTCGGCAGTGAATGACTCACTCAGAACGCTGTTTTATCACTTTTTGACACTTCACTGCTCTTTGGTAATAATAAAAGCTACGACTAATGGCTTCATGGACAATAAGGACTGGTGTGATGGTGGGAATATGAGGTGCTGTCCTGTTCCTGCTATGAATTATTGCACAGCAGTTCTAAGCTGTTCAAAGGCGTCTGTGGAACAGCGCTGCCCATGTTCAGGAGGAGTGACCGTGTGGCCATCTTGCTGAGGTCAGGATCTGTGGACAGTTAAATCATTCCATAACCAAAAACCATGGATTACCAGAACCATCTGGAAACATGGACAATCACAAAGCAGCAGCTGACAATGTAAGAAGACGCCAATAATGACTATATTACTCTGCACAAATGTGTTTGCATGTTCTCTCCCTGTCAGCGTGGGTTTTCTGTGGGTACTCCAGCTTCCTCCCACAGTCCAAAGACATGCACGTTAACTGGTGACTCTAAATTGCCCGTAGGTAAGAATGTGAGTGTGAATGGTTGTCCGTCTCTATGTGTCAGCCCTGTGATAGTCTGAAGACCTGTCCAGGTTGTACCCCGCCTCTCACCAAATGTCAGCTGGGATAGGCTCCAGTCCCCTGTGATCCCCAACAGAATAACTGGTTACAGAAAATGAATGAAGGAATGAAGTTAAGGGACCTAATGGGAACATGTTTCATTGGAGTTGTACTTTGTATAATTCCATGTGATTGATGATTTTGTACCCATGGGTTTTTCACTAACATATCTGGGGTTGGTAAATCATTCCTAATAAAATTATTTCCATTTCAGTAGTTTGGTACATTTTCCTACAAAAAATTTGGCATCATATGAAATCATGAGCCAGCAATGTGTTTAACCTATGTATTTAGAGAGGCTACATCTGTGTGACCAATGCACTGACTGGAGCAAAGAAGGAAACAACCCCAGTAGGTGGAGTCGTTTTAAGGTACGTTGTCACCATGTTTCTTTTCCTAAACCTAAACCTAACCTCTGTAACTTTATTTGCCCACATCTAACTTCCCAAACTTTTTGTTACGTACATAACCCCCTTTCTGGGGTGCTATCATACAAACCACTGTGAGCACATTTTTGTAGGATATCATATGAACGGTTGTGTGAGGTTGTGGGGTTGCTTCAAATTAGGAATACAAAATGAAAATATTCTAAATACTAATAACACATTTTTTACCTCCTCACATCTTCTGAATTGATTAATATTCTGCGAGCTGGATGGGTAGCTTTGGCGAGACGTACGGTGGCCAGTAGGCCGCCAGTTGAGGATCACTGGTCTATATACAGCCATGTTGTGCCAATGTCCCTAATGGACAGCTGCCAGAGCTGAGGAGGTGAGGAGACAGCAGGGCCAGGAGAGAGAGAGAGATTTAGTGCAGACTAAACAGTGTGTCTCTTCAGCAGCTCTGACTGTGCCAACGTGGCTTTGATCTCAGTCTGGAGGAACCAGGCTGCAGTGAATCACTGGGCTTTTACAATAAAATGCATCACTATCCAGGAATTATTCCCTCCAATGAGTATGGACAACAGATTTCTTACTACTGTCTTGGAAGAGGCTGAAGCATGATGTCCATCAGTGCTGCTGTCTCTGTACAATAATGTTGTTCCACAGCTTTACAGTGATAGCGTTTGTCCTCTGGTCACTATGTGTGACTGCTCTTGAGGTGTCTGACAAACCATTTTCAACACAAGGTCCTTTTAATAGCAGCTCTGGTGTTTTTGATTCTATCACATGATCTTGCTCAGCACAGTGAATTGAAAAATGGTAGATGTTCAAAATGACATTTTTTTAAGAACTTTAAAGATATACTGAGTGGGAATTGTCACTTACTGTTTGTAAACACTCGCCAGCGAAAATGAAATGGAAAGCCAACCCCAGATTCACACATTTTTTGGAACGAGCTTTGTTTGCTTGGTGTTTTGCATTTGCAGTTTTTGGGTACTGGCTCCACGATTTTCTTAGCTTTCTCTTTACTGTGTGCCTGGTCACTACTTCTTATAAATTCCTGACCTAACCTGCCCACTGTGCCCAGGAGCCTCCTGACCATGGCAAAATGAGAAGAAAGTAAGAAAATACAGGCAAAGGGCAGAGTCTCTGAAAATAAATACACCACCACACACCTCTAGTGGGTCATTAGTGCGTTGTGTTCAGAGCGATTACTTTTGCATAAGTTTAACTATCATATTTCTTTAAGGACTTCTTGTCCCTGTTGGTTCAAAGCTGAGCTTGAATTTATCTTGACCAAACAATTTCTCCTGAAGATCATTTAAATAGCTGCTCTGGAGCTTTTGATCACATGACATCACCAATCCATCTTCTTACAGACCTTTTTAAGCCATAATGGATATTAAAAATATTGTAAATTGAGTATTATTTACCATAAAATCAATATACATTTTTACATAACTATAGTACTGCCAAAAGTTGTGGCTGCCTTCTTTATGTTAAACAAACTTATTTAAATCTATGTGGGAATTGGTCTCACAATGAGTACTTAACTAAAGGTATACTACGCAGGATTTTCCTTAAAAAAAATGTATAGACTTACACAGATGTAATCCTCTGCCTGTATTTCTTTATTTTATTCTTATTTTGCTGTGTTCGGGATGTTCCTGGGCACAGCACACAGCTGAAGTTGGGACTTTACAAAAAGGTGCCAGACCATAAGCTGCATGTACTGTATCTAAGAGGAAACTTAGAAAATCATGGAGACAGTGCCAAAAAAATGCAGATATAACAAACAAGAGTGGATCTGGAGTTGGCTTTCACTTTCACTTTAGCTGGCGATATTGTTTGCAACCAATAACCGTCAATTCCTGCATAGCATACCTTCAACCAATAAGATCAATTTAAAAGACAGGATATCCTCACACCAAACAATAATACAGATATCCTGATACAGCATATTTACCTCAGCCTGAAATTCTAAAAATAGCTGTCATTCAATCTGTGCTAAAAAAAAACATCTTTACATAAGACATTCATCGTTCAGTGTCAACTGACAACAACAAAATAAACACTACAGATAAAAAAAAAACACTAGTTAAGCAAAATGCTGCCTCACCTATTTTCATCGCAGCATGATGTGACAGAAAAGAAAAAAAAGTTCAGCTCATCCCCTGCTGCTTCTAAATTTATCATCTCCCTCATTCCAGGCATCTTTAATATTTCAAAAAACAAAACACAGCAGGTCTAGACAAGAACAGCTGCTGGAACAGGGACTTCTGAAACCCTGTCTACTTGAGCAGTGTCATCATTTGTATCTTAGGAATATAGATTATGTTCGCTGGTACTATTTTTTTATTCATTTAGTGTCTAGCTCGGTTAAGACAGCCTCTCTTCCAGAGGCAACAGCATTCATCATTCGTCTTCAAACATGTGATTGTGTGTGTGTGTGTGTGTGTGTGTGTGTGTAAGGAGCCTAATGTGTTCTCTCATAACAGTTATATGAACCACATCATATCAGCATGACATAACAGAGAGAGAGAAACAGGGGAGTGAGGAATGGGGAGTGCTCAAGCCTCTTGGACCATGCAGCACTTCTCACACAGGCCTGCTTCATAATTAATGGGGACATACTTCAACACACCACTGAATAATGAAGAAGTCGAGGGCTCAGCGAGGCAGTTGGATGATCAGACATGATGACTGAATATTTCAGGATGGGCCAAGCTTTGTCATGTGGAGATAAGGGGCCACCACAAACGCACGCTAACATTTAAACAGGTCTTTGATGAATTGTACATTTACTACAATGCTTGCACAGCACACAAAGCAGGTCAGAAGGTTTTACTTTCAGAACTTGTTGCCAGATGTTACGACTTGAGTTTAGGCGGGAATAAATGGCTGCTCAACAACAACTTGTCTGTCTCGGTTGCGTCCCACCTGACATTGCTTCACTGTGGACATTCGGAGGGATTTTCAGTGACTAACTGGGTCAAAATCACGAGGAGTGGAGACTGCTGCAAGACACCACCCTGCACTGTCATCCCTGTGTAGCAGGAGCTGCGTGAGCAGTAGAGAGCCGAGCGCTGCACTGTTACAGACACTGTTTCCCCATCACCAGAATAGCAGTCTGTCTTGGTACTGTCACACCCATATGTGTCCACACAGACTTGCTACAATGCCACCAATAGTGAGGATGCATCCTGAGCACTAGACTTGACATTTTTAAAGGTTTCCTGAACTTAATGAGCTGCACATTCAGCTACAGGGCCTGGTTTCATATGATTTTGGTCCAGAAAAAAAAACTGATTTAAAAGGCCATTCTTATACATTCTCAAACTCAAACTACAGTCAGATTAATCTGTTTCCAATTTTGCTGGGAGATTCCTGAAACCTTGTCAAGCTTGTGTCCCTGGCCCTTACATTAAGACCACTGGAGTGAGAATCACAGTGAACAGAGTGATCCATTGCAAAATTAAACATAATAAAAGGGCCAAAAGGAAGGGTTACCCTTAGTTACAACTTACCAAGGTGTTCCCAGTGCTGTTCTTCACCCTGGTATCCAAGTGGTCATGAGCCATTTCCTCCTCTGACTCGATCTGCTGCACCAGCCGTTTTGGATAGACAATCTTGGAAGCAGTGTCCCCGCTGTCGGACTGCCCTGCCGGGGTAAACCAGTCCCAGATGCCTCCATCCTGCTCCAGGCTCCTGGACACACCTACAGGTAGTACAACAGAGACAATCTCACGGTAGGCTCATGAGTGTGCAGAGGTTTTGGCAAGGTAGGGACAAATTGGACCTGCTAGTGATGCAGTGCATAGGTGTAGATCTCAGGGGGAAGCAGGGGACATGTCACCCTCAATATTTAGATAGCATGCAAAATTGAAGACACTTGCACTGTAAAAGTCACAAACTGGTGCTTAAAAGTGATCTAGAATGTAGGAAATTAAGTGTTTAATGCTCAGAATTTGTCTCATATGTGTCCCCCCAAATATTAACACAAGACCTGTGCCCTTAGTAGTGAGGTAATCAAATGGTAGAAGTTGGTTTGAAAGTGAAATACTTTAAATAAGCCCCACTGTGTGAGTATTCAGATCAGTGTTTTTTTTTCTGTAAACTAATGGTCTGCTGACCTCATTTATCACACTAACCAGTTAATAACCGTTTTATCAGTCGCAGCTCCAGTCTGAGAAATTCAGTGGGCATAATTAAGTTTTGATGGAAAATGATAATAATGTAGTCATAGTTTATAGGCTGACGCCCATACTGACACACACAGGGCCTATGTAGCTTAAAATCCCAGCAATCATCAATCAGACTGTAAAAACACGTTGCCTTTGTGACTGGTAAGTTATATCATGGTGCTTTTAGATGTTGATTGGGTTAAACACCGCTGTAAATGGTTATGGGTACGTTGGATATAGGCGATGGGGCTGCGATGGAAATGTGTTGATGCAGCAAATCTACCGCATCGGAGAGTGCTCTGAGGCCAGCAGGCTGCTTGGCACCGTGCTCCCGCTACAATACAATCGCAGCCTACACACCGGGGTTAGAAAAGTGCTGGTGCAAGGGGAAAAAATGTGGATGCAAAGGAAACGAAAAGGGTACTCCCGCTCTTCATCCAAACCCCCTCTCTCTCTCCCTCCTCTCTGCCTCTCTTACCTGAGACCGCAAGCCTGTCGCCCACTGCAGCAAAGACCATGAAGCACCACACCGCCAGCATGATCTTCACATATTCCCCCGGATTACAACATCGAGAGCCGCAAAATGTCACGAACCCGGCCGACGGAGGGGAGGAAAGGGACCAAAAAGCGCACAGCAGAAATGATGGCGAGGAGCGACAGTGAATCTGCTGCTAAACATCTGATGATGCGCGTCCTCTCATCTCTCCCCCCTCTCCTTCTCTCGCGCTCTCTCTCGCCCTCTCAGCTCCAGCAAACACCGCTACAGAGAATTTGGATTAGCATATCAGAGTAATGAAAAATGAATCATAACCTAGGCCAGGGCGGAGGTGATCAATACAGGCCTATACATTGATCAGTGAGGAAATAGTGAGGAGAAACGGGAGAGTGCGCACCGCGGATGCATAGCTCCGCAAAAATGCGCGGGTGCGTACTGGTGTATAGATGAGGTTGTACGTGTGTGTGTGTGTGTGTGTGTGTGTGTGTGTGTGTGTGTGTGTGTGAATCTGCGGTATGCGGAAACGAAGAGATGGGAAAGCGAGGAGAAATGCAATGCGTTGGGTCTGCGGTGAGGAGGACACGTGGGACCGCGGTACCTCCCTCATCCCGAACAGCCTCCTCCTCCCGTTGCCGGGGAGAGGATGCGACAGCCCGGCTGATGCTGAGGCGCAGGCCGAACAGGAGCCATAAAACGGGATCATGGATTCACATGTCAGTCATTTGCTCAATATACAGCTATGAATGTCGGGATATCTGGGAATGCATAAAGATGAGGCCTACAGGTCTGCAGAGGATGGATGTATGTCATGACCGTGGAGAGACATCAAAGCTAAACACAAAAACATGTTGACTAATACACCGGAGGCCTTATCGTAATGTATCCCATAATGTTCCTCCTGTTTCTATGGTAACCAACTCAAACTGTTTAGGATATTTTTGTCATTTATTTTTACAATAAAAGACTATAATTCTATCGCACTTGTGGATAAGTCTCTGCATTTGGCTGCTGCAAAATATTGAATAAAGCCAAATATCCAAAAAATAAACTTATAATAAGAACTACAGTTTTTTTTATTTACATTTACTGGGATAAAATAAAAGCTTGGGCTGCTGTAGGACTGATAGTTCTTTGGATGTATAAAACCAGGTTGTTGGCTGCCTTAAATTATGTGTCCATTCCTCGATTACCCTGTAAGTTAATCATATTCCTTTAGTCTGTAAGGGTCCTCAGATCAAAAGAATCAGAAGGGTTTTTCATAAAAATGAATCCAAGTTGTATTGTTTGACAGGATAAAGTGGGGTTGTGTCGGTATGCTGGGTGCTGTAATCATCAAATGATGTAACTCTCTCTCTGATGAACAGATGCATCTGTTGAAGCTAGATCAGATGAATGACTCATAATTGTTATCTGAAGCCTAATTTTTAAATAAGCAATATTATTACTACTTTAAATAAAAAAAATGATTGTGATAACTGAGCAACAGTTTTGCGTGAAAGGAATTAAAGGTTGGTTTAAACAAATAATAGCCTGGGCTATTAATTGAAGTTTTATGGTAAGTTAATATTAAACCCCATTAACATGTCTGAAAAGGTAGACTTCCCCTTTAGACAGTTACACAACTAGTTTTAACTTGAGAGTCCAGTGTGTAGGACTCAGGGGGATATATCGGTAGAGATGCAAAATATAAAATAAGGATGTTTTCTTTAAGGTTTAATTACCATCTCTTATCATCTTTACTCACCATCTGCGCGGCCAAGTTCCCATCTCCAAAATGTTCATAAGCATGGGTCAGCGTTTCTCCCATCAAGTCTGTTTTTATAGATCATTTTGTGTGGGAAGTGACGTATGCCCTTTTCGGGCCTCAATTTGGTGTGTACACAGTGTTTATACTGTAAATGAGACCCCAGGTCCTTTTCTGTTGGAGAGGAGGAGACCTTTGCGGTTAATTTGGCTGCTGGTAAAAACTTCCTGAACTATGATCACTGATCCCCTTTTCCACCAAGTTAGCTCTGGTTCTTGGAACCTTGGTGCTATCTTGCGAACCAGCCCACTTTTCCACCAGTTTTAAACAGAACCATTGTAATCAAGGATGTGTTATCAACAGAGGGCATTGCACAATGCACATCAGAAGTGGTAGCAAGATGGCGGAACCTGCCATCTTTTGTTCTGTTATTGAAAATATTTGTTTTTATCCAAAAACAAGTATAGACCAAATATTAATGAGACCACTGATCATTTTTTTCCTAATGATTTCTCACTTGACATCTTTATTGTTACTTTCTCCATCCTCTCCTGCCAAAATCTGGGATATGACACACCCACTGATGTTGTCACAGTTTGCACTTCAGGTCAAGGAAAACCTGCATGTTTTTGGTTCCAGCTCGGAAAACACTTTTCAGGTTCTGAACCAATGTTATGTTAGGTTGAAATGCTCTGTAAGGTTCAAAGCTAGGTGCGGGAATCAAGGAACTCTGAAAAATCTGAAACTCTAAGAAAGGAAGTTTTGGCTAGGTGCAATCTGCAATCATCACCACTAGATGACACTATATCCCCCTAAATCTTACACACTGTTCCTTTAAGGCAACAGAGTGACATTTACCTCTCATGGAAGCTTTTAAGGATTCACACAGTGTCACAAGATGGTTCTATGTTTTGGTAAAATAAAAGTTACATGTTGTCTGTTCAGCAACTATTGAGGCAAATACTTCATGCTCCTCTCTGGAAGTGAATTCTAATTTGATAATCCATGAATTGGCAGAAATAACATTTTAAAAAATTTTTAAATCATGTGATTTCAGTATCTGGTTTCTTTACTCCTGTGTGACAGTAAACTGAATACCTTTGGGGGACAAAATGACATTTGAGGACGTCACCTTGGGCTTTTAGTTGCAGCTCTAGAAACAAGCCAGTGCAGTGTTTAGTAATAAAGTGGGGCAGGTTCTGGATAGATAAAGCAGTTATTCAGGACTCTTAATTTGAAACACAGCAAACAATTACAGCATATCAGATAAACACCACTGGAAACCACACACCATGTGCATGTAATTCAATGAAATGAAAATGATCAGTATATTGACAAAACGACCAGCCATTCATCATAAAAAATACTGTAAATATAATTTAAAAAATGGTAAAATACCCCAAACATTATCAATATAAACATATTACATATGCTGCTTGATGTATGAATTTTATTGAATATGTCTAAAAGACAATGTAACAGCACACAATCACTTGACTTCTTATGGGGAACCATCAATATAGATCAATCAATCAATTATTAAAAATGGAGACCTGCAGTGCTCAATATGTTGCTGTCTCAGCCCTGCGACCTGTAAGGTTAGCTTCCTTGATGCAGTTTAAGTCTTCCAGCATCCATCCTGCAACACATCCTGCTAATGGAGGCACATTGTGCACTGACAGCCCCCTCTGAATATTTCATCTACCCCCTCCACCCCCTTTGAGACTAACAGGGATCAAGAGATAGTGGGGAGAAGATGGAGGGGAGAGCAGCAGGAGGAGTGCAGCATCGAGGGCCAAATGTACTCGTCCTGTCTCTCCTCCCAAAAAATGAGAAAAGCTGCTGAGGTATTTTAGTTCTCAAACTCGAAACAGACGTTGATTTGGTTCAGACTGGTCTTTCTACTGTTAGTAGTATGAGTGGTTCCTGGGGTATATGAATTCAACTGGATCCTGAAGAGGGCTAAAAAAAGACAAATGTATAAGAATGACTGCATTAATCCACTAACTTTCTTCATTTACCGCAGCTATTGCCAAAAAGTCTTCTCAGATGATTTCCTTAAACAAAATCTTTGTTAACAGAGGTTTGATGTCGGTAATGTCTTTGACTTTACAAGAGAAAGACATGAGGGAAGTCTAATCCATTTCCCTACTAAATCCTATATTCAAAATTACACAGACACTATGTAACAGGATGTATTTGATGCAGAATGAGTGAAGACAGAGGGACTTACCCATTACTGTGTAACGTTGACCTAAATGTCGGAGCCGGGTGAGACAGAGACACACTACCCTCTACTGTACAAATACCTGTATCACACAGACAGCTCCAAAAAGCTGCTATTTGCAAGTCTGATCACTTTTGGAAATAGATTTCCCATTGTAAAGTCTTCAAGTCAAGTTTAATCCTGCTTTTATTAAGACTGGAGACATTTGCTTCCATAAAGTAGTGTGTTGTGTTAAAACGTCCAGTCATGGGTGGATAATTCTGTTTATAGGAAGAGTTTTATTATTACATTTCAGCCAATGGTGTAATGACAGCTGGTGGGGTGGTTGTACTACTAGGTAGATGGGTAGGTTATCAAGGAGAAAGTGGGTATACTCTCTTATACACTCAATGGCCACTTTATTAGGTACACCTGGTCAACTGCTCATTAACGTAAATAGTTAATCAGCCAATCACGTGGCAGCAACTCAATGCATTTAGACATGTAGACATGGTCAAGACGACCTGCTGAAGTTCAAACTGAGCATCAGAATGGGGAAGGAAAGTGATTTAAGTGACTTTGAACGTGGCATAGTTGTTGGTAACAGACAAACTGGTCTGAGTATTTCAGAAACCGCTGATCTAATAATAATAATAATAATTACAAAAAAAGCAACAAAAAAAAGCAATTGAAACAGTTAGAATTAATACAATTTAAAAGAATTATTAAAAATGATCAGAAACGATAAAGTTAAAAGGAGAACCTATAAAAGACATTTAGTAGAATGCTTTTGTGAAAAGATAGGTTTTTAGGTCTCATTTAAAAACATCAGTAGTCTGTGGGGCCCTGAGGTGGTCAGGGAGGGCGTTCCACAGCCTCGGAGCAGCAGAGGAAAAGGCTTGGTTCTGGGGGCTTGGAGGGTGTTTGTAGTTGCAGAACGGAGGGTGTGTGAGGAGGTCTGGGGGGTGAGGAGTTCCTTGAGGTACTCTACTGGGATTTTCACACACAACCATCTCTAGGGTTTACAGAGGATGGTCTGAGAAAGAGAAAACATCCAGTGAGCAGCAGGGTGAAAATGCCTTGCTGATGCCAGAGGTCAGAGGAGAATGGCCAGACTGGTTCAAGATGATAGAAAGGCAACAGTAACTCAAATAACCACTGGTTACAACCAAGGTATGCAGAAGACCATCTCTGGATGAACAACACGCCGAACGTTGAAGCAGATGGGCTACAGCAGCAGAAGACCACACCAGGTGCCACTCCTGTCAGCTAACAACAGGAAACTGAGGCTACAATTCACACGGGCTCACCAAAACTGGACAATAGAGGACTGGAAAAATGTTGCCTGGTCTGATGAGTCTTGATTTCTGTTGTGACATTCAGATGGTAGGGTCAGAATTTGGCGTAAACAACATTAAGGCATGGATCTACCCTGCCATGCATCAGCGGTTCAGGCTGGTGCTGGTGGTGTAATGGTGTGGGGGATATTTTCTTGGCACACTTTGGGCTCCTTAGTACCAACTGAGCATGGTTTAAACACCACAGCCTACCTGAGTATTGTTGCTGACCGTGTCCATACCTTTATGACCACAGTGTTCTGGGGCTACATCAGGATAACACACCATGTCGCAAAGCTCAAATTGTTTCTTGTTTATTTCCACATATAAAAGTAACAAATTATAGATTCAGTACAAATCACTCAATATAGAGAGTGGGTTAGAGAATGTGCAGGTGAGGTCGGAAACCCAAAGAGGGCTTATAAATTGACCCCACCCTAACCTTGTTTAGTCAAGGAAAATGAATAATGTCCATCTTATGGGGTAACGAGAAAATAGATATTTAAAACAGGTTAAACAAGAGAAACAAAAATGAAATAGGAAAGAAGAAATGAAAAAAATCAAATATCACATCATATCAGTAATCAAATAAACTCAAACTGGTTTCTTGAACATGACAATGTGTTCATTGTACTCAAATGACCTCCACAGTCACCAGATCTCAATCTAATAGAGCACACTTGGGATGTGTTGCCGAAAAATCTGTGGCAACTGCGTGATTGTATCAAGTCAATATGGACCAAAATCTCTGAGGAATGTTACCAGCACCTTGTTGAAACTATGCCACCAAGAATAAAGGCAGTTCTGAATACAAAAGGGGGTCCAACCCAGTAACAGCAAGGTGTACATTATAAAGTGGCTGGTGAGTATACTCCAATTGCTTTTTGGCTGATAGGTCATTGTACTGTAAACTGCCAAAACTGAGGTGGGTAGCTATACAAAGAAAACCTGTATACACCTCCTCTGCATCACTGATTTTGGCTTTAAGTTTTGTTTCTATGTTGATTTTGCAAAATGTTTTTACTGTTATTAATTTGCATTATAGTGTTTTGTATATCATGCTGTTATTTTTTCCTCTTTGTCATGTCTTCTGCAACAACTCTACTTTACAGTGTATCATTGTACTAAAAAGGTGCTAGTCTCATTTAACACTGACAGGCAACAACTGCCTGGCTTTGTGTCTTCAAACATGTGTTGGCTTGCCTGCGTGTTCCACGTGTGTTTGCACACAGCTGAGCTTACCAAGGCAATTAGGTTAATTAGTTTCAGCTTCTCTTTTTGAGTGTTGCAAAGTGTTGAATCAGCCAACACTGCTGGTGACCCGACGCTGCCAATTAACCAATTAACTTCTTTCAAGAGGCTATAAAACAGGCTGACAAAAGCGCCGGCCGTCCCATAACATTATCTTTGGAGAAGTATTGAGAAGATATTGAGGGAAAATGAACGGTGTGCGCAGTGGGAAACCTGTGTGCAGCCCACCGCTGCAGCTCTTCAACTGCGCCCACGCTGACTGCGGAGCGACTTTCACCAGACAGTGGAGACTGAAGGAGCACGAGACGATGCACACCGGAGCGGTGAGGAGGAGATTTAAAGCTATGATACTACTCTTTACATAAAGACACCACTATGTTGAGTATTTTAAAGGTGTAAAACTGTTGCCAAATGTCCACAGCGCCCGTGTCTGTGCACAATTGCCGGCTGTGGTCGTCGTTTCTCGAGAAAATCCCACCTGAGCCGCCACATGCTCCAGCACAGAGGGGTGAAGCAATTCCAGTAAGTCACAAGCCACAGTTGCACTGCTGTTCACACAACCACAACCTATGATATATTTTTAATTTTGCCTTTTGCAGATGTAAATTTGCGAGCTGCACGCAGAGTTTCATCCACGCAGGCAAGCTGAAAAGACACGTGCGCTACGCCCACGGAGACAAAACCAAGTATTTCAAGGTTTGTCTAGTACAACACAAATGTGTCCACGAGATGGCGCCAAAATGCCACAGTATAACAAACAACCTGCACTGAACCTCTTGATGTTCAATAACCAGTTTTCATGTCTTTGTCATTTTTCAACCACTTGACTGTTTCCCGCCAGTGTACCCAGCCTAACTGCTCCTCGACCTTCAAAAAACGCAGACTGTTCAAACTGCACTTAAAGGAGCACGGATCACCTGCTAAGTTCAAGTATGTCTGTAGGAAATTTCACTCAAGATGGTTAAGATTTGGCTGCAGGCTAGTGTAAAATCCTGTGGTATTAAATCAGACTGTGCAGCTTTGTCCTGTGACTTAATGAAATGAGATCAGGACCAGAGGAGCCTGTTCAAGATTATGCACTTGCCATTTTAATTAATCAGATCTTTGATGCCTGGAGTACAGGCTCCAGCAGGAGATAAATGAATGGTTACAGGCTGAGTGGGTGTGGCCCCAGTTGACTTAGTTAAATTTATTTTTACCCCTGCCTGTCCCTGGTGGGGTACTTAGGTGTACCAAGAACGGATGTGCTGCCACGTTCGACTCCCATATCGCCCGCAAAGCCCATGAGAAGAAGCATGCAGGTTGGTCTGTTTCAATCTTAGCAGGGGTCCTTTCATCTTCCATCAATGTAAAATTCTTTAATTAAAAGGGAGGCTGTGGCTGCATTTGCATGTAACCTTTTCTTGCATGTGATGATGATCCTTTAATTTCCTGATACTCACTGGTCTTGTTTGGTCCCTGCAGGTTACCGCTGCCCACACGCTAATTGCCAGGTGTTTGAACGCACCTGGGGAAAACTTCAGAAGCACAAGGCAAAACATCCAGGTAAACATGTTGTCCTTAATTTACAAACTTCCTGAAATCTATCCCAAATTTTTGTGTTTGACAATTTTTAAAATCTGTTGTAGCCACGTTCACATGCCAAGTGTGCAAGAAGGTGTTTAAGAAAGTGGATGCTCTGCGGAGACATAAGCGGATCCACGCTTCCCATAAGCCTGTGCTGGTTTGTCCCAGGGACGACTGCCAGGCCTACTTCTCCACAACCTTTAACCTGCAGCACCACATCCGCAAGGTGCACCTCGGGCTCCTCAAATACAAATGCTCCTTCCCCGACTGCACACGCACATTTGCTATGCGGGTGAGTAACAAGTCTTCTATAAGAGATCTGTATAAGGAATATATAGTAGACCTCTGATTCCCTTTTTAATTTGCATCATGCAGAACTTCCATTTGAATAAGAAGTATGCTAATTGGGACGCTGTTTATGCCGAGCAAATTTATGTAGTTCTGTACAATGATTGTAAAGAGCATGCTTGATTGGTAACGGCACAAATGAGTGACATGATTTCTGCACATTTCGTTTTAAATAAAGTTTCAACCTGTGTATTATGTTATGGCTTCTCTTTATTCCACAGGAGAGTATGACCAGACACCTGCTTCGCCATGACCCTAGCGCCGGCACTCTGAAGGTAAGTCTGACGTCAGTATCCAGCAGTGCAGATGTGAACTAAATCTACCACACAGCAGTGAGCTCTAAAGCTATCTGGCCAGGGGACTATTGATTTTGGATTTCTCTTTAAACGTGTTGAAATCCGACTCCTCTGTGTGTCCTTCCAGCTTCAGAGTCTGGGGTTTATATGATTTTGTGTGCAAGCATATCAGGTTTCTACTATTCAAGTGTTTTCAGACAAACAGTATCAAACTACCACATTGTTCCAAAACTTTTTTTCCTAAATGTTTTATGTATCCCAACAGAAACGTCAACGACCTAAGAAGTCGTGGCAGAAGCGTTTGGACGGACACCATCTGCCCCTTGTTGAGGAAAACTTGCGAGGCCTCTTCGCCCTGCGCATGCGGATCTCCCGACGTGTCAAAGTGGAAACCAACCTCTCCGGCCTCTTCAATGAGCGCAAGATCCCTCACTATGTTGACCCCGAAGTCAATCTGCGCAGTCTGTTTGGTATCAAACAGCCTCGTCCTCTGGAGGAGAAGCCTCAGGTTGCGCCGCTAAAAGGTTAAATAAAAATCCAACCAGGCCAGCAGCACATTTTGACTGTTAAGTTTGAACTTCTTGAAATATGTGCAGACTTTTAAGTTGGACTGTTTCTTTAATTACTGAGAAATTGGGTCCCCTTGGTTGAGTTTTTTATTAATGTAGCTGACATACATTAAAATATTTGAATTATTTGAATGTCACTTGACACATTGACCAGGAAATTTCAGATTGAATTCTGCTTAAAGACAACAGGTCTTAATTGAAATGCTTATTTTTGTAACATGACGTGTTGACCCAATAAAATGAGTTGCATTTTGATCAATGTGGCATTTTAGTGCTGTTTTACCATCATTTGAGTGCTTAGAATCAACAGCACTGGAGGCGTGCCCATCAGTAGCAGCTGCTGGAGAGGTGTCATCTCTAGGACTAAGATTTGTTTACTCAGGCTCATTTCATTGCAGTGGAAAGAGCATCTCATTGTTGGCGCACTCATACAGCTGTTCTCCTCCAGCATATCTTTTGTGCTTGCTTTGGCTTTGCATATTGGTTGACATTTGCTGAACATGTTGGAGCTCATTAAGTATGGACAAAAGGACTCGCATGAGTAAGAGCTGAGTCACAGAAAGCATGTCACTTTTGGGGGTGGATGTGACTTCTGAACACAAAGTAGATGAGTATCAGCTGTCAGATCTGCTCAGCTGAGGTTAAACTGTGGCGGTTTAGATCCTGGCCTTGGGAACATTTACACTGAAGAGAATATTCGTGCTTGTGAGTACAAATGTAACCACTCTCACTGGCTTGCAGTAAAGCTGCATCCATTTTCATTATCAACCATCCATTTTCTCCTTCTCAAAAAAGGGTTTGTGTTTTGTATTCAGATCTTGCACATAAGTAAAGGTAGCAATACACTCTATGAACTCCCTACAAGTGAAAGTCCTGCTATCCAAACTTGAGTACAAAGCAGCATCAGCAGAATTAACTTGAAGCATTAAAGTGTCCACTATGCAGGCACCATTTAATGCATTGCTTCACTATGCAAACTGCATTTTAATGTGGACTGAAGTGGAGCTGATTTTAGCGGTTTCATACTATGAGTGGCTTAATTTACTGTATAACACTGCATTGTGTTTTATATGCTCATTATAGGCATTTAAAATCTATATTAAAATATTTCCCTCTGAAAGTGGTGTAGAAGTATTGCAGCATTGAATTAAAATACTCAAGTACCTCAGAATTGCACTTAGTGACAGCACTTGAGTAAATGTACTTTCTCCACCACCGTTGGTCTGTAGTCAAGATGCTGTGACATTGAATCTCCTTAATGTATACGGTTATTTCAACTTCTCTGTCAATAAGGGAGACTTTTTCAGCAGAGTCTTGCCATAAAATATTGGAAATAGACTACAAACTCATAAAGGCTACAATAAAAACATACATGTGAGGACAGAATGAAGCAGAATCTTCATGTATGTAAATTAAAACACTGCTTCAACGTCTTGCTAGCTGAGTTACTGGAACCTCAGCGTTTAGCCTTTAAATACAATTAAGTATCATCAAGTAATGTTACGCTGAGGTCCAAACAACTTCTCTAAAGGTGAAGACAGATTTATAATATTGCAGGGAACAAAATACCCACAAAATAATACGTGGCTAGTATGATGTGTACTGCTCAAAAAAATTAAGGGAAAATGAAGGGATCTGATCAAATTATTCAAGTTGGAAATCTTTACTGATGTACACTTTAGAACAAAATGCTGTAACAATGGTCAATGGAAATCAAAATCATCAACCCACTGAGGACTGGATTCAAAATCACACTGAAAATCAAAGCAAAATATGAAATCACAAGCTGATCTAACTTGAAATTGCAGCTCTCTGTGGCCACCACATGCAAAAACCATTCCCTTTGGGTGTTGCCTTTCTTTTGCCTCTCCATTGCACCTGTTGTCACTTTCATTTGCACCAAAGCAGGTGCAATTAATTCACAATCACTTGCGCTTCCCAAATGAACAGATTGATATCCCTAAAGGTTAACTGACTTGGTGTTAGAGGCCGTTTACACATTGCCGGCTATTTTCATAAACAGACATTTCACCGTCTCCGTTTTCAAAAAGATCTTCGTTTACACTTACCCGTGTATATATACACAAGAGCATGCCAAACCTGTAGGTGGCAGTGTAACGAGAAGCTCAAGCCGTCCATGTATCCATTGTCACCATAGCAACATAGGTAGCACTTTTGACACAGGCGCAAGTTCCGGTGCATACTGTGACGTGGGCTGCCTATAACTCCGTTTATCTCCGTTTATCTCAGTTTACATGCAAACGTGCAATCGGAGTTTTCCAAAATCTCCACTCTGGCCGGAGTTTTCAGAAAGACTCGTTTTCAGAGGAGAAATCTCTGTTTGCATGTAAACGAAGGGCACAAACGAAGGAAGATGTCTCCGTTTATCAAAATCACCGTGTACGTGTAAACAGCCTCTTATACTAAGGCATTTTTTAACCCCGTATTTTGATAGTAATCAGTGTTTAATGGCTGAAAGTGACACTTGCCTTGCTTCTTCATCTTTCAATTTACTGGTCATGCACCAAGAGGTGTAGAGGTCAAAAAGAAATCCACAGTGGGCACCACAGAAGAAGTTTTGAACCTCAAATTAAAAGTATGTAAGCTGCACATACTGTAGGCAAAGTATGCGGTAGGTGAAAATGTAGCTAGCTAACGTTAGATGTTTTAATGTTGTGTAATGTTAATTTTTAATGTTATGATAAGGAAGAGACGGTCACAGCCTACCTCATAGAATTTAATGTTACCTGCTGTACTTCATTAAAATCAGTTTCTTTTTTTTTTTCAAAATATATTTTGCACTGGCCTACACGCCCTAAACATATTGAAATAGAAAATAAGTTGTAATTTCAGTAATTTATTGATCAGGTCCTGGTCAAGTTTTTTTTTATGGTAATTTTTACTGCTACTTGAGTCATTTTTTTTTATTGGAGTAATTGTACTTTTACTTGAGTACAGATTTTCCGTACTCTACCCACCACTGACTATATAACGATACAATGTTTTTTGTGTAATTATATAAAAATCCATAGCCTACATATAACCAGTGACATATAAAATGTTAGAAAATGGTGACTAATCTGTTTACAATGATGTAACACAGACGGAAGCAACAAATCATCACACTGGAGGAGCTGGAACCAGATTTGTATTCATTCTTGCTTAAAAATGATCTAAATGATTAATCAATTATTCACATAGTTTCCAATCTACTTCCTACATGACCAATTGAATAATTGGCTAATCATTGTAGCTTTAGTTTGCAGCCAGGAACAAGCTCACTGGATGTGTTACATTTCCCTGTCATCTAGGACAGAAATGAATAAATGTATTTTTAGTATTATTAGAAACCGACATTTAATAACTTGCTCTGGTGTGCGTTCACAGTTAGAAATTACCTTGAAGAAAATTAAATAGCCTATAGCTACATTTTAAAATCAAAGGGTTTCAGAGCGTAAAGGCTTCCTTTTTTGTTTCAAGACGTCTGTTAAATGGCTCCTTCTTGTGTTAAACAATTCATTTTTTATGGTTCATTTCAAAGCTTCGGCTAAGCTGTGGAGCAGCTTGTCAGCTTGAGTTCGGACAGTGTCTTCACTGCTGTGTTTTTCTTTGCTCTGCCAAAGGTCATTTTCCTGACTTTGCAGCCTCAGGCTACCCTCCTCCCTTCTTTCCTTCACTAGCTTCTGCTCTGCCTCTTTAGGGACCATACATTAACCTGTCCTACAGCAGTTGACCTGTAAGCTCTGTGGAACTGGATGGTCTACTCTGCACACCGCTTCATTCAACAGAAACACATGCCTCAAACAGCTGGCAGTGTCTGTTTCTTCCATAATGATCTTTCCTGTAGTAATTACATCTCTCATTCCTTTGTGAAATGTCAAAAGCGCAGATAAAAGCATCAGTCAGACTCTGAGTGCCTCTTAAGATTGTAACGTTGGATGTGTAGCAAGGCTTTCAAATCCAACAAATCTCCGCTGAGCAGGAATTTAAAAGGATAGTCTTGTTTCTATGGCGATGCAACGCCATAAACAAGGTTGTCTTTAATCTTTGTTCTGTTCCTTGTCTTGTCAGTGGGTTTTTTAAAATAAATGGGTCTGTGTTTGCAGGTGTTCAGCAGGTGTGGAAAGTACCGGAGTGATTAGATGTTCCTTCCTGTGCGAAGTTGTTTTCCACTGGTGCTATGAAGTCCCACAAGAGTGATGAAGCTGCCTGGTGTCATAGAGGCCGAGCACTGGACTGGTACCAGCAACACTATCAAACTGAATCACACACAGTTAACCACAACCTCGCCATCACCCTCTGACTCTGCAGAAAGGCCATGCCAATTATCCGGATAGTGAGCATGACATTTGGCATAACACACCGAGCTTGATTTTTGCAGCATGTGCATCACAGAACAGAACAAAGGGAAAGTCACAACAAAATCACAGCATGGGAGATTGGGACACTCATTCCACATTCATGATTGCCTGATTAGCTCTAAGAAAACATTTAATAGGTTAATAATGGATTTTAAATAGTTCCCATTGACTCCAATAGTCTGGCTACTTGAGTGCTGTCACTGATGTATGACCTTTCCTTCTTTGAAAATCCCTTGCTACAGGGCACTAAGTGAAGGTCTGTCTCTGCTGAGCTGCTGCATAAAATGTATGTAATGGAAACACAGCATGTGTGGACTCTGTTGTGGTGGGTGCTGGTCGTTTGTTGACGTAAGCGGGCTCCATTTCTTTGCTAATGTTAGCCACTGTCGCACACTGTTAGTGCTGTAGTAGAGCTACGGAGAGGCAAGGCACTTGGGAACGCACGTAACATCACATCCTCTGGATTTTCTGGGAAATATTCAGTCCAGGCCCTTTACATAGAAATCAATCCACAGGATGCTAAAGGCAACTGAGACAGTCTGAGAAAGTCTCAGTTACAACCTGTTGGCAATAAAAACTTATTTATACTGGTAAAAAGTTACACACAGAAACTTTAATATGTGCCCTGTAAATGGCACAGAGAGTAGTTTTCCTTGGCCCTAACAGTCAGTGGATAATGATGGGAAATAATTTTATTTCCTGGAGATATGAAAAAATATTTTATTCATGATTCTACATGTAATCACTCTAGTTTTTTTGTTTAATTATACTGAACTATACTTTGATTCCAACTTACAACAGTCTCATGCATATGGAAAAACTCGTCTCACATTTTTAATCAAAAGTGAGCTGTTTAGTTGGCCTTTTCATTTTATGCAGTGCTAATGAGTGTAAGTAA